CTGGAGCGCGGCGGACCCTGCTGCAGAGGACGCTGACACCGTCCACCAAAGCCATTTATGAAATCTTATAGCATTTTTTTCTTGGTTGTCCTATTTATCATTGATTTCACCCATTCCTTCTCTTGTTTGTAACTAGTGTATTTATTTTGTCTTTGTCTAAATTGTGAGCTCCTTGAAAACAGGTTACATCTAAGCTCCTTGCTTAGCCACTAGTATAGTAACTAAATGTATTTATTTTTCTTCCAGATGGGCAAAGACCAATAAATTTTAATCATATAATATTTAACACTGGTGTTAAAATGGAGCAAAGTTTGAGTATCATAAAATTAGATTAGAGTTAACTGTGGGAATGAAGGAGAGATGAAGTAGTCTGAAGCCAGATTACAAAGGGCCTTTTATACCAAACTAAGGAATTCAGATGCTATTCAGTTAGGGGAGAGCTAATGAAAAATTTTTAAAATATTTTATAGATGTTGATGTACCTTTATTTTTTTATTTATATGTGGTGCTGAGGATTGAACCCAGTGCCTCACACATGCTAGGTGTACCACTAAGCCACAACCTCAGCCCCGAGCTAATGAAATTTTAACACTAATATCTGTGTCAAGAATGAATCAGTAGAAGGAATAAATGAGAGTAGCCTCAAATTGCAAGCAATGGGACATTAGTAGGAATGAATTTTTAGGGGTAGCCATACCAATCTAACAGGCTCCCCAAAAGAAGATTGGGTGTCTGGGAGTGGTGAAAAATAAGACCAATGAAAGAGGAACAGAATATGAAGGACTTGAAAGCCAAGTAAAAGCATATGACTTGAGATCCCTGGTTTCTAATGCCTGTTTCCCTCCTTGGGGAACACCCCTTTTCTTTTCTGGAATGCAGTTTCCTTTTCCTAAGGTTTTCTTCAACAATAATGTTAATTTTCTATAATGCTCTGACCTGATATAGAGATTCTCAACCCTTGACTGCACGTTAGAAATTCAGCAGATTAGACAAAGGGGAATGAAAAGAAGGAAGGGGGGTTGGGAATAGGAAAGACAATAGAATGAATCAGACATAACTTTCCTATGTTCATACATGAATATATGGCCAGTGAAACTCCACATTATGTACAACCACAAGAATGGGATCCTAATTAGAATAAGTTACACTGTATGTTTGTACAATATGTCAAAATACACTCTACTGTCATGTATACCTAAAAAGAAAAAAAGAAAGAAATACATGGAGACCTTTAAATACTATTGATTTCTAGATTCTGGATTTCAGATATTCGTACTTGTCTGAACTTGATTGTCTGACCTTAGATGCAGTCCCCAAGTGATTCTACTGTACAGCCAAGGTTGAGTTCAACAGATGTAGAAAACAGTGAAGCATCAAGATTATTAAATATAGTAATGATATGTTGGGAGGGAATGTTTTAGGGAAGACTAACATGAGTATATAGACTAGAGGGAAAAGACTGGAGCAAGCAAACAAGGATTTTTCAATAATTCAGGAAAAAAACTTCTAAGGCCTGGATAAGCATGCATGCAATAACACTATAGGGAAGAAGATGAGTGAAAGAAACATTTAGAGAAAAGAAAAGTAATACCAGAACTCAATAGTAGATTGAATATTAAACCTGATCAAAAGGAAAGAGAAAATATAAAGTCAAATTTCTAGCATAATACATTGTGAAACAGCTGGTTACTCATGATTATTGACAATATGATAACCAACATTAACTACTATGTCAGGGTCTTCTCTGTGTGCTTTATCTCATTTAATCTTTACAACTCTATAGATACCATCATCATTACCATTTTATAAATTCAAAAACTGAAGACAAGAAAGCAATTAAAGAAGTTGCTCAACGTTACACAGCAAGTTGTAGAGAAGATATTCCACCTCAGTGGGTCTGACTCCTTTTCCTTAAAATAGGAAGATGATCCGCTACATATTGAATCTGGTGAATTTGAACAAGCAACTAAGAAAAAGCAAAATGGCTACAAAGAAGTCCAGACAAGAACATAAATGACTGAATCAAGTTAGATTTGACTATAGAAAATAATCTTTTTCTTCAATGATAGGGATCAAACCCAGGGCCTCCTCACATATGCAAGGCAAATGCTCTACCACTGAGCTACATACCCAGCTCCAAGAGGAAAACATACAAGAGGCTCCTATCCTGCTATACTGTTGCCCTGTGTGAATTTCAGGCCCATTATTGCCACTTCTTAAGACTTTTTCTGAAAAGATGGAAATCTGGATTCATATATACAATCTCCTAATACTTAAATGTCAATTAATTCAAGCGTCAACACTACTGGGTTGTGAGCGCAATAGCGCTCATCTGTAATACCAGTGGCTGGTGTGGCTGAAGCAGGAGGATAGTAAGTTGAAAGCCAGCCTCAGTAACTCAGAAAGACCCGGTCTCTAAACAAAACAATAAAAAGGGATGGGGATGTGACTTACTGGTTCAAACTGGTTTTGTACTGGGTTCAATCCCCAGTACAAAAACAAAAAACACTAATGTGGCCCAAACTAAATATGGCTGCAGATTTGCCTCTCTGATCAATAAGCTGTTAGAAATTCAGTATTGGATTTAGATTGGAAGATGTATGATTAGGGAATCCTTCAGCACAGAGGATAGAAATGCTGTAGAAGTAGTATGCACTGGAATAACTACCAGCATATAACATTTGTTAAAACAATGCAAAAATATATGTTAACAAGACAGGACTCTTTCATGTTTTTTCTTTTTTTTTTTTTTTAGCCTTATAGAAAGCTGACAAAATAGAAGTGTAAAACTAGCAGTTGGAAGTATGTTTAGTTCAGTTTTCTATGAACTAAATTTTTAAATTCCAGACAATGACTTGAATTTTCAGGTATCCAACATGTGATGGAAACATTTGAAATTGTGAAAATATTTTTATCCCCACTGATTGAAAGGTAAATAAAAAATTGTGTTTTATCTACATTTTTACTTTTTCTTTGCTACTTTGGGTTACTCCTTCCCAGTCCAGTTTCTCACAAACACTCATATTTTAAAAGCCTATAGCAGAGGGATTTACTAGTAGCAAACATTAAAGATTAAGTAAAATCTTTTTCATTTTTAATCATTCAGTTTCAAGTTCCTTAATTATTAGAACATTCAGGTTTTAGGGCTAAGTAACTACTCACTTTGATGTCTAGGTTACTATAGTGTTTCTGAAGCCCATTCTCACTATCAGATAAATGTATTCATTATCAGATATGAGGAATGTAAACCAGTTGTGTAAAAATACACATATGAAAGTATTTTTTGCAACTGCAAAATCCTACCAAAAAGTATAAACAAATATTATTCTGGTATTATTTTGAAGCTAGAAGTATCCTGAAATTATAACATGAAACCTTTTGTATTTGAAACAAAATTTGCATCTTTCCCAAAAATGTTTCCTTTTTTTTTTAACACACAACTAAGTTTATGAATAAAAATGCTTTTTTCTGGTTCTTAAAAATAAAGTGAAATTGATTTAATAGCAATAATTATAGTAACAATAAGGTGGGGAATTTTTCCTATTCCATAGCAAAAATCTAAAAATGCAGAATTGTGTCAAAAACCTTCAGAACCACACCACTCCCTTCTATTATCAGATGTTATGAAAACGGTATTCAGGACTAGGTACTTGGAACACCTAGAGCTGTTTTGACATGTCAAACCTAAGTTTGGGTCTTTGAAAATCCTGCCCTCCATTGGACACTAAGTCATTCACGATAACACACAGTTTTTCTTTTGATTACATTGTATCAAGAACTGTGCTCAAAATGGAGAAGGGGACATTTCTGTTGTTAAAATATATAGAAACATGACTCCATTTTTGTAAAGCTAACATGTCGCAAACGGTGGAACACTTACCCTCTCCTTTAATATATTACCTGAGAAATATAAATAGTTCAACCTGCCAGCTTTGAAAAGCCTAACCCTGTGTCTTAACGTGGACTTTATATAAAATGGAAATAAAACTGCTAACAGTTTTCACTGTGCTTTAAAGAAAAAAACAAAAACCAAGAGTGAGCAATTTAAAACCCTCCAAGCGCCCCGCGCTCTACCAACACTTCATCAGAACAAGTCTGGCATATTCTGAGCATTCCTCGGTGACCGGTGACCGGACGTTCCTTTGCGGAAAGCTGTTTCTAACCAGAGGTACCAGGACAATAAGCCCCTTCCTTTCATCTCTTTCTCATTCACTTTGTAGACGGCAGGCCAATAAAGAGCTTAATGTTTTCTTTCCGCACTGGGGCTTTTCGCTTTCGTCTCCTCTCCTCAGCCCTATCCCCGGATCCCCCACCCCTAAGCCTGCCGAAACCGAGGACCTGAAGACAGGTAGCGATTCCCCGCGCGGCGCCCCGGGGGCGCCAGGCCTCAACGCTGCAGGCTGGTCCCAGGACGCCTGGCCCGCGCTGGTCAATCTCAGCTCCCTAGGGGCGCCAGGGAAATCAGTGCTCAGACACGCCACGGACAGGGGTTGGGTGAGGTAGGAAAATCGTGCGTTTTCTTCCCAGGTTGCAGCAGCAAAAACGAGGAGGGAAAAGAATCGTGTACAACTCGAGCTCGGGATCCGGATTCTGGGAACAAAGAGCCTATGCAGGAAGACGAGGCAACCACACCAACGCACTCAAAAGGGCTCTCCAGCTTTTACGCAAGCGGCCCGCAACTCAACAACGCTCGGCTCCCCTTACGCCACTGGCTTGGTCCCAGAGCCTTCGCGAATAAGGCTTTGCGCACTGCGGCGGGGCTGCGCCGCAACCGAGCTTGGCCCTCTGGCTCCTCCCCGCCGCCCTGCGCGGATTGGTGGCAGATGGCAGCAAGGCTGCTGATTGGGTGGCGAAGGAGCCATTCGGGGCGGCTCTGGTGGGTTCGGCTGCCCCAGAGTGATAAGTTCGGCTTCTGACACGCCTCAGCGCCAGCAGCGAGTCGGAGCTCTATGGAGGTGGCGGCTGGTACCGGGTGGTGGCTGCAGCAGGGACTCCTCTGAGCTGAGAGTTTCAAGCCGTCCCCGACTCCTTCCTCCCCCTTCCCTCCCCCTTTTTTGTTTTCCGTTCCCCTTCCCCCTCCCTTCCCCGTCCCCGACGACCGGATCCTGAGGAGGCAGCAGCTGGTGGCAGCTGCTGAGTTCTCGGTGAAGGTGAGTGGAGTCGCCGCCGCCGAGCGGAGCGCTCTAAAATGGCCGCCGTCCCCGGCCGCTTCTTCTCGAGTGGTACAAAATGGCGGCCGCAGGCGGAACCGGGCGGGGCGACCCTATTTTAGTGTTTCCTCTGCACTTGGGGCACCTGGAAATTCCTGGCTTTTGCTCTCCTTTGCCGTTTCTGATGGAGTAGAAGAAAAACTGCAGCTTGACTACGCTTCGTGTCGGGTGTTGGCAGGGTGCGCCGACGTAGGCCAGGCGGGCCGAGGCACGGTGTGCTTGGGCGGCGGGCGAGCGTGGCGCGGGCGCGGGCGCGCGCCGTGGCGGGAGGGCGATGGGCCGCTGGAAGGGCCCAGCCGTTGGCGCGGGACCAGCGACGCGCAGGAGTCCCGGAGCCCGGCCTCCCGGCGGGGCGAAGTTAAACGGGGCCTGTCGGCCGGCTGCCCTTCGTGGGGGGAGGCAGAGGGTGAGGGCTTGGGCCCCTTTGTCGGCCCGCGGAGGCAATGGCGAGGCGGCTGTCAGTCTCGGGGGATTTATGGGTGGGAGGGGGCCTACCCAGAGGCGGCGGGTGGGCCGGAGGCCGCCTTCCTGCCCCGAGAACAAAGAGCCGGGCGCTGAGCCGGCGGGGGCGGCCTCCGCCGCTGCTCCCGCCGAGGGACCCACGGCCTCGCGAGGCGCCTGTCGGTAGCACTTACCTAACTCCAGCTGGGGTGGGAGGAATCCGCTGCCCTATTGTTCCCAGTAAGGGAAAACGGGGCGGAGGTTTTGCTGCCATGTTGTGGCCCTGGTCTTCCGTCTGCCGAGTGCCTGCACGCCTGGGCCGTCGGCGAGTCTTAACACAACATGCCTTCTGCGAGAAGGGACGGGCCGTGAGGAAAGCAGCGGAGCCGCCTTAGGCCTTGTCCAGGCGGTGCGGCTCGCCACCGAGGCAGCACAATTATGAGAGCAGACATTTCCCATCTAGTGCTCTAGGTGTTGATAAGTTATCTTTTAAGTTTTAAAGATAGTAGCATGTGGCTTGGTTTTGAGCAGTTTGAGTTCTTGTGTGTCTTCGAGGGCTGGTCTTGCGTCCTTGAGCAGCCGGCAGTTTCTTAAACAACAAAAAAAAATTCTGCCCATTTGTTTTTTGAGTACGTTCTATTTTTAGTGTTATGAGACCTGCAATGCAGTGAAAGTTAAATCAGCTGCAGTGCCAGGATCTGAAATAATTTATTGAATGAAGGTTTATAGATCTGTGTGTTAGAAGTGTCTAATTTTGATGCTCTTTCTCATTCTAGGTTTTTCATTTCTACCATCCCCTCCCTTCCCCACCCTATCCATTAATATTATTCTTTTGAAGATTCTTCGTTGTCAAGCCGCCAAAGTGGAGAGTGCGATTGCAGAAGGGGGTGCTTCTCGTTTCAGGTATGTGTAGATTTCTTTAGGGGGATGGTTTGGAAAAGTGATCACAAAATAAGAAGTTACTACACTAAATAATTCTGACTTAACATGCTACAATTTTTAAAGTTCTTAAGTTTGTTGTTTTTTGTTTTTGTTTTATGACAGTTTTCTCAAAGAATAAATGCAATTATTAGTGTTTTCTCAAGGCCCAAGTTCATCTGTGGTGTAATTTCTGAAGTATTTTTTAAAAAATAACCTTTATTCCTTTAGAATGAGGCATGATTGGTATAATGAAGAAAAAAAATTTTTTTTTTTAAATAGTGCTTCTTCGGGCGGAGGAGGAAGTAGGGGTGCACCTCAGCACTATCCCAAGACTGCTGGCAACAGGTATGGTAAACATGTAAAAACATCAACTTAATAGTAGATTAACTCTTGATCATCCCTTAAATAGATCATCTAATGTGAGTTGGGACTCTGAAACTGCTTATTCTTGGGTTATTTTTAATGATGTTATTTTTTGAGATCAGTTATTATTCATGCAAGGTGTTTTATATGGAATATGATCACAAGATATTAGTGTTCTCAAGGTGTGGCTCCTGGACCACCTGCATTAACATCATCTGAGAATATATACTGGAAATGAAAATTCTTAGGCACTACCCCAAACCTGCTAAAGCAAAACTGGGAGTGGGCCCAGCAATCTGTTTTATGAAGCCCTGTGAATGATTCTGATATACCATACTATTTGAGAATCAATGATTTCCAGAGTTACTTTGTGGTGGGGCAAGTAGAGAAAGCATAGCATAGATTTTTCTGTTTGGTAGAGTTTCTGATCAGTGTGAGATTTGGTGTGTAACTGGCTGCTGTTTCACATTTTCTTGATTTATGAGTCTCTTTTTTGACGTTAATCAGCGAGTTCCTGGGGAAAACCCCAGGGCAAAACGCTCAGAAATGGATTCCTGCACGAAGCACTAGACGAGATGACAACTCCGCAGCAAACAACTCCGCAAATGAAAAAGAACGACATGATGCAATCTTCAGGAAAGTAAGAGGGTAAGTTTTAAATCTGCTTTCATAAGAAGACGTATAGATTAGCTGTATTTACATAGTGTATATGTTATACTATTCATAAGGTAATGTTCGTGCCCATACCTTATTTTTTCTAAATGTTTATTTTTTTAGTTGTAGTTGGACACAGTACCTTTATTTTATTTATTTATTTTATGTGGTGCTGAGGATCGAACCCAGGGCCTCGTACGTGCTAGGTGAGCGCTCTACCACTGAGCCACAACCCCAGCCCAAGAATATATTTTAGTGAATGTTAATGTTCACAGTATCCCAAATAGTCTTAAACTGAAGAGAATCACGTCAGTATTTGTACTGTTGGTTCTAGTCAGTTGGTTATAGCCATAAGCCTGTTGTCCTGGCATTTGCATCTTGGCTTAGTGTGTAACCCCATTATAGTAGGGAGTATAACTATAGAAGCTAATGGTCTCTATTTAGTCCCTGATAATGAGAGGCCTTTGTGCTCTTAGTTTTGAAAAAGGTTTGTTGTCAGACAGCTGGGAACCCCCAATTTGACAGATACTATAGTCTAAATAACAGTGACAAGGAAGAACCTTTATTCTGTTTGCTGATATTTCAAATGTGATTCTTTTTTCCCCAGCATACTCAATAAGCTTACTCCTGAAAAGTTTGACAAGCTATGCCTTGAGCTCCTCAATGTGGGTGTAGAGTCTAAACTCATCCTTAAAGGGGTCATACTGCTGGTAAGTTTTAAATGTTGGAAACTTGGGAAGACAAAAATATTAACCCTAGGTTGTTTTTTTGTTTGTTTTTACCTTTAATCATATCATAACCCTGAGGTCTGAGTTAGATGGACATGTGTTTCTGAATGCTGATAGTAATAAAAACAGAACTATTAGCTTTGTCATGAGATTTAAGAGTGAAGTTTAAATTGTTTATACTGTGTTCAAAGGGGCTATCAGCAAGCTATTTGTTTTCCTTTTGTAGAAATTAATTGTATGATAGCAAAAGATTATTAGTGCCTTTTTCCACACATACACACACCCCAGTACCACCACCACCCCTTTGAACCTCTGGCCTCATATGTGCTAGGCAAGTGCTCTACCACTGAGCTACATCCCCAGCCTTCCAGTGTCTTTTCCAACTTGGTGGTAGGGGAAGGAATGAGAATACATGAGGTCTTTTTAACAATAAAAGAAGCAAAGAGAAATAAATAATCTGTCATGAAATTTAAGACTACCCCCAAAAAATGGTCATAAAAGGACTTGTTTGAAAAGCTGCCAGTTGATTTATTTATTTTTATAAATGACTTTCTCTGTAGATTGTGGACAAAGCCCTAGAAGAGCCAAAGTATAGCTCACTGTATGCTCAGCTATGTCTGCGATTGGCAGAAGATGCACCAAACTTTGATGGCCCAGCAGCAGAGGGTCAGCCGGGACAGAAGCAAAGCACAGTATGTGGTGACTTTTATTTGCTTATTTTAAAATTGATTTGAAAGATATCATTAATAAAGCCTGTGCCTTTTATTTTCAGACATTCAGACGCCTCCTAATTTCCAAATTACAAGATGAATTTGAAAACCGAACCAGAAATGTTGATGGTAAGAATTTGTTTATATTTGAGGGCTGGGATGTAACTCAATGTAGAGTGCTTCTTTAGCATAAGCAAGGGTCTGTGTTTGATCCCCTGCACCACACCAAAAAATTATATTTGATACTAATTACGTACAGTATATTTTCAACCTAATTCTAAGTGTTGGCTTTATTCTTTTCCCCCTTTAGTCTATGATAAGCGTGAAAATCCCCTCCTCCCTGAGGAGGAGGAACAGAGAGCCATTGCTAAGATCAAGATGTTGGGGAACATCAAATTCATTGGAGAACTTGGCAAGCTTGATCTTATTCATGAATCTATCCTTCATAAGTGCATCAAAACAGTAAGTATTACTGGGAATTTACACTTAAATTAAGATAATCAATGAGAGCATCTTTGGGAGGAATTGAGTCAATTATAATTGTTTTGTGCCATCTTAGAAAGTAGATTCAGTGGGGCTATGGCTCAGCAGTGGAGCACTCGCCTAGCATGTGTGAGGCCCTGGGTTTGATCTTCAGCCCCACTTAAAAATAAATAAGGTGTTGTGTCCAACTACAACTAAAAAACAAGTTAGTGGATGGTTAGTGAAATATTTAGATGGCCAACAAAACTAAATGCCGTAGAACAATATTTAATATGAAAATATGGCATGTGTTTTATAAAGTAGATGTTGAACTGATTGCCCACATCAGAACTGCTTCTTTTGAAGGGATTGCCTTGAAACAAAACTGTACTAGATGCTATAGGAACTATGAATGGATCAGTGCAAAGCGAACTACTACATAACCCAGAATAACTAAAATTTTGTCAACATGTGGCCTTTCATTCTTTTGGTAGCTTTTGGAAAAGAAGAAGAGAGTCCAACTCAAAGATATGGGAGAGGATTTGGAGTGCCTCTGTCAGATAATGAGGACAGTGGGACCCAGATTAGACCATGAACGAGCTAAGGTGTGTACGTTGCTGATGAAAGCAGTATATGTACTTTATTTTTTGACATTAAAGGGGGTTGCCATGGTCATTTACCTTGGTGATACTTTAGGAGTCTTAAAAGCCTAAGACAGTACACATTTATTTTAGTTCTTTCAATTACGTATTTTTCTCTTTTATCAGTCCTTAATGGATCAGTACTTTGCCCGAATGTGCTCCTTGATGTTAAGTAAGGAATTGCCAGCGAGGATTCGTTTCCTGCTGCAGGTAAAACTGGTTTGTTTGAATACGTTGTTAAAGCTGAGTTTTTCTGTTCAGGAATATGAAAATGAAATTTACACTTTTAAATTACAGGATACCGTAGAGTTGCGAGAACACCACTGGGTTCCTCGCAAGGCTTTTCTTGACAATGGACCAAAGACGATCAATCAAATCCGTCAAGATGCAGTAAAAGTAAGATGATATGTGTGTATTTAATCAAGTAGACTTGAAGTATTTTTATAGTAGCACAGGGACACAAACCCTCTTATTTGAGATTGTCAGTGGGAAGTTCTTACAGAAACATAGCAGTCTAACATTCTATAGGTTTTTCTGTTTTCCCCAATATTAATTTTAGTTTTCAGTAAAATAGTGTTCAAAAATGAAAGTACTTATTCACCTCATTTTCAAAGGATCTAGGAGTGTTTATCCCTGCTCCTATGGCTCAAGGGATGAGAAATGACTTCTTTCTGGAGGCACCGTTCATGCCACCCAGGATGAAAATGGATAGGGACCCACTTGGAGGGCTTGCTGATATGTTTGGACAAATGCCAGGTAATTTTTGAACAGAAGTTTGGTTAAACTAAAAAATTAGTCTAAATTTTTTAATAGTGGAGTTTTTAAGAGTTGCCCATGTGTGTGTTTTAAGGTAGTGGAATTGGTACTGGTCCAGGAGTTATCCAGGATAGATTTTCACCCACCATGGGACGTCATCGTTCAAATCAACTCTTCAATGGCCATGGGGGACACATCATGCCTCCCACACAATCACAGTTTGGAGAGATGGGAGGCAAGTTTATGAAAAGCCAGGTAAGAAGGCATTAGGAAACAAGTGTTAATATTGCAATGTCAACTTATTTTGCTTCTTTATATAAAGATACAGCTATTTTAGGTGTCCTTTCTAAACTAAATTTACATCCTTGGCAGTTATTTCAAATTGAGTGAAATATTTATTAAGATTAGTAAAGTCACATTACTTTGATAGTTAGGCTAGATTTTTATTCTTCCCTGTTTCATCTTTTACTTTCTCTGGGCAAATTCAATTAAGCTTTCCCTATGGCTTGGCTCATCCCTTTGGTACTTGATTACCATAATTTGTGGACCCCCTTTTTATCTAGACTTTCTTTCTCCCTTTCTGAAATAGGGGCTAAGCCAGCTCTACCATAACCAGAGTCAGGGACTCTTATCACAGCTGCAAGGACAGTCGAAGGATATGCCACCTCGGTTTTCTAAGAAAGGACAGCTTAATGCAGATGAGGTACATTTGCCTATGTTACTTATATATGGTAGTTTGTCGATTCAGAAAATCTATTGCCCGATGATTATAAAAAGACGCGTTATTAAGAGGACTTATGCTGGAGTTCTTTTCTTTTTTTCTCTCTTTTTCTGTCTTTCTTTTTCTTTCTTTGAATGTCCAGCGTCCTATGAGCGAAGATTATGAGATATGAGGGCAAGACTTTATTAGTTAGGGTGAGGAAAATGGTTGTCAGTATGTTGTTCCTCGTTTCCTTTTAAGTAGAGTGATTTAAGAACAAAGCAAGATGTTTTCTGAACTTCATTTAATATGCTGGGTTTTTATTTTAATAATGCTAATCCTAGGAGAATTCCAGTGGAAATGTAAGGTTTATGACAATATCTTATTTTTCCGTGGATCAGGTCTTCAATTTTCTTAGTTTGTTTTTAAGAAACATTTCTGCCCTAGATTATATCATGTCTATAGAATTAATTTTAGGATATTAGAGTGTTAAATTTAACGTTAGCCAACTATATGTATTAACTTGGGTGTCTGGTATGGTTTGTTTTTAATTCCAGATTAGCTTGAGGCCTGCTCAGTCGTTCTTAATGAATAAAAATCAAGTGCCAAAGCTTCAGCCCCAGATAACCATGATTCCTCCTAGTGCACAACCACCACGCACTCAAACACCACCTCTGGGACAGGTATGAGCCCTGTAGTATGACATCATTCTTCCTTTTTAACTTCATGTTTTCTTCCACTAATGTCACATGTTCCTTTTATCTGTCATGTTGCTTATCTTTTAGACACCTCAGCTTGGTCTCAAAACTAATCCACCACTTATCCAGGAAAAGCCTGCCAAGACTAGCAAAAAGCCACCACCGTCAAAGGAAGAACTACTTAAACTAACTGTAAGCATCTAGTGATTGTATAAATAATCTTTAGTTCTTGGGGTATATTTGGAATAGAGAAAACAAACAGTAATTGGATTGTATTCTTTTTAGGAAACTGTTGTAACAGAGTATTTGAACAGTGGAAATGCAAATGAGGCTGTTAATGGTGTAAGAGAAATGAGAGCTCCTAAACACTTTCTTCCTGAGATGTTAAGCAAAGTAATAATCCTGTCACTAGATAGAAGTGATGAAGATAAAGAAAAAGCAAGTTCTTTGATCAGTTTACTCAAACAGGAAGGGATAGCCACAAGTGACAACTTCATGCAGGTAGAATACTTTTCCTGATTGTGTAATAAGAACTCTCCACTCATTGAAAACTGTAACAAACTGACTGTTGTGTGTTCCTTCTAAGGCTTTCCTGAACGTATTGGACCAGTGCCCCAAACTGGAGGTTGACATCCCCTTGGTGAAATCATATTTAGCACAGTTTGCAGCTCGTGCCATCATTTCAGAGCTGGTGAGCATTTCAGAACTAGCTCAACCACTGGAGAGTGGCACCCATTTCCCACTCTTCTTACTTTGTCTTCAGCAATTAGCTAAATTACAAGATCGAGAATGGTTAACAGAACTTTTTCAACAAAGCAAGGTCAATATGCAGAAAATGCTCCCAGGTAAGAGAATGCTAGTTTGTTAATACTAAACCTAGAGGTTCTTGGTAACTTGAGTGGATTTATATGGATCAGACAACTTTACCTTTCCAAGTAATAATAAACATTTCCCTGGATACATCTTAAGATCTTATTTTAAAAGGGGATTATTATATCTTTTTACTTGATCCATGTATTAAGAGTTCATTTTGCGGTTGTGGGGTTGTAGCTCAGTGGTAGAGCACTTTCTAAACAGGCCAGTTGGATAAAGTGAACTGCTACTCAATGATGTGAATGATTTTATCTCTTCAGAAATTGATCAGAATAAGGACCGCATGTTGGAGATTTTGGAAGGAAAGGGACTGAGTTTCTTATTTCCACTTCTCAAATTGGAGAAGGAACTTTTGAAGCAAATAAAGTTGGATCCATCCCCTCAAACCATATATAAATGGATTAAAGATAACATTTCTCCCAAACTTCATGTAGATAAAGGATTTGTGAACATCTTAATGACTAGGTAAGATGAGTGGCCTTCTATAAACAGTAAAATCCATGTTTTATTTGCTAGAGAATAAGTCTGCGAGGCAGGGAGCTAAAAGTTGTCTGTTTCTTGAGCCAAAAAACTCACTTTGTGGTTCTAAAAAGGCTTCTTTTTGTCCAGCTTCTTACAGTATATTTCTAGTGAAGTAAGCCCACCTAGCGACGAAACAGATTCTTCCTCTGCTCCTTCCAAAGAACAGTTAGAGCAGGAAAAACAACTGCTTCTTTCTTTCAAGCCAGTGATGCAGAAATTCCTTCATGATCATGTGGATCTACAGGTCAGTGCCCTGTATGCTCTGCAGGTGCACTGTTACAACAGCAATTTCCCAAAAGGTGAGATGACAGGTGTTAAAGGAATGAGGAGTTCAGGGGCAGTGCATGATGAGATAGCCCACTAAGTGGGGATTTTGGGTTTTTTTTTTTTAGGCATGTTACTCCGCTTCTTTGTTCACTTCTATGACATGGAAATTATTGAAGAAGAAGCTTTCCTGGCTTGGAAAGAAGATATAACCCAAGAGTTTCCAGGAAAAGGCAAGGCTTTGTTCCAGGTAAATTTTTAATTTGGTTTGGGGTTTCTTGGTTTTTGTTTTTCCAGTTTCGTTGGTAGTATTTCAATGAGTAGTGTGCTAGCGCGCGTGCGCTCGCTCGCTCTCACTCTCTTGTAGCCACACAAAATACCTGTATTTTATTTGTGTTTATGTAATGCCAAGGATTGAACCCAGTGCCTCAAATGTGCAAGGCAAATGCTCTACCAGCTGAGCTACAACCCCAGCCCCCACTAGTTCTCTTTTTAAACTAAAATACAGGCAAAAGATAGTCCTGAAAGTTTCTTAATCCGCACATATCATTTTGTACTGTTCAAAGCTATTAAAAGTGGGCAGTTAGCAGCATGAAGTAAAGCTAGGAGGTGAAATTATGCTTAAATCCTAGTGGTTTTATAAGATGTTGAATTAGAGGTGATTGACAAAACTTTTTGGTATTAAAAGTACTTAAACAATTTTGGTGATTGGAAGTTTAATTTATTCTATCTGTAAGTAAAGAATTTAGTATAAAGGTTCTGGTTTAGTAGTTTTCCAAGGGACCAGCCTTTGGGAAACTTACCTTACTCCTAAGGGTTACAGAGTAGCCTCACAGGGATCATCTTGAGACTAAAAAGATTTCCTGAAATATAAGTGGACAAATGTCATACTAACCTTGAATTAAAACTTAAGGCTGATTTACACAGTACATTTGCAGCTGTTTGCAGTAATCAAAATGTGGTTTAAGACTTTTGCCCTTGGGTAAATGTTTGGTTTTGGTTATGTCTTGAACCTGCTGTTGAATAATAATTACAAATCTAATTTACAGGTGAATCAGTGGCTAACCTGGCTAGAAACTGCTGAAGAAGAAGAATCAGAGGAAGAAGCTGACTAAAGAACCAGCCAAAGCCTTAAATTGTGCAAAACATACTGTTGCTATGATGTAACTGCATTTGACCTAACCACTGCGAAAATTCATTCCGCTGTAATGTTTTCACGATATTTAAAGCAGAAGCACGTCAGTTAGGATTTCCTTCTGCATAAGGTTTTTTTGTAGTGTAATGTCTTAATCATAGTCTACCATCAAATATTTTAGGAGTATCTTTAATGTTTAGATAGTATATTAGCAGCATGCAATAATTACATCATAAGTTCTCAAGCAGAGGCAGTCTATTGCAAGGACCTTCTTTGCTGCCAGTTATCATAGGCTGTTTTAAGTTAGAAAACTGAATAGCAACACTGAATACTGTAGAAATGCACTTTGCTCAGTAATACTTGAGTTGTTGCAATATTTGATTATCCATTTGGTTGTTACAGAAAAATTCTTAACTGTAATTGATGGTTGTTGCCGTAATAGTATATTGCCTGTATTTCTACCTCTAGTAATGGGCTTTATGTGCTAGATTTTAATATCCTTGAGCCTGGGCAAGTGCACAAGTCTTTTTAAAAGAAACATGGTTTACTTGCACAAAACTGATCAGTTTTGAGAGATCGTTAATGCCCTTGAAGTGGTTTTTGTGGGTGTGAAACAAATGGTGAGAATTTGAATTGGTCCCTCTTATTATAGTATTGAAATTAAGTCTACTTAATTTATCAAGTCATGTTCATGCCCTGATTTTATATACTTGTATCTATCAATAAACATTGTGATACTTGATGTACTTTTATGTGACTTTCAGTAGCACCTGCAGCTTTGTGGGGAATTGTTAGCTTTTGAGGGTTAGAAGATGCATCTCAGTTTGAAGATTTAGGAACTTTTAAACGCAATCTATTTTTTTATGATAGGACACAAAATGAGTAATTTTTCAGGTCAGTTTATTAGAATTATATAGAACTATCAACAGTTTCTGTAATCAAAGACCATAAGTCTCATGAATTTAGAAGAATGTTGCTATCTATGCATAGCAACCAAAACTGATATCTTCTCATCAGGCTGAAGTAGGTTGATAATCTGTTCTCAGGAAGATTTCACATCCCCTCTTGAAAAATCTATTGTCCCAGTAAAATTATCTGGCTTCTTTATTCAACTAAATGTTCATCATGGGGGTTAAGATGTATTTTTCAGAAACTCCTTAAGGATTTACCCATGCTCCCAAGCCTTGGAAGATTTTTCACAATCCTGGGCCTAATGTTAAAACTTGGGCAGGGACACTTCTGCCACCTGAGAAGAATAACCTGGTCTTGGTTTACAGAAACCTTCAAGGCAGGCAGTAGTACATCATGCTAATGGGCACTGTTGAAAGAGGCCCCACCTACTAGAAAGGGGTGATAGGTAAAGCCAATATTTTTGTGTTCCGTTGGGATCAGAAAGGCTAACCCTTTGTGGGAATGGTCATCACTAAAATTCTAACAATTTATAGCTTTTGGTGGCTATCAGAGCAAAAATGGTAGGTGAACACAACCTACTTTAGATTTCAGAAGACTTGAAGGGTGCTCCGATAAAATTGTGTTATTCTTAGCCATCTGCTCAGTGTTACATGCCAAGGGTGAAAATTGATTAACTCAGCAAAGGTAGCACGTGGTTAGAGGTAATGTGTTGGCCACTGGGTTCATTTTATAGCCATAAATAATCCAATTTGGCCAGGGACTAGCATATACAGAGACTTAGAAATCTTGTTCCAAATTTCTGATGTTGTATTCACCTCCTTTTCTCCCAATCTCAAACCTCAATACCCTTTGTACCTCTACTCTCAGGGTCACCAGTAACTCAAATGTTCTGCAGTAGATTTTTGATCATCCCACTCATTCCCACCACTACATCCCTTTTATAGCATAAATGCCCCACTGTTAAAGTGTGACAAGCCTCTTACAAGGCTCAGGAGTTTGTACCAAATTCTTGATTGGGAAGAAAAAAAAAACAGGACAACTAAGTAGAAAGTAAGTTTACTGGAACCCAAGTAACCAAAATGGAGCCTAGAGAACCAGGCTTAAATATGAATAGCAACTAAGGGAAGGAAGTTAGGCAGCCCAAGCCACAGAAATTGGGGCAGATTTTTAACTAGCCCATTAGTCCTTGCAGCTTCCCTTACAAGTATCTTGAATGAATTCTCCCGGAGACAGAAGCCCCAGTGTCAGAACCCCAGGCAGAAGCTCATAGTTGCTAGTGGACTGTGTTAGTGTCATGCCTCCACCCTTCACTACCTTGGCTTCCTGTAGCAGAGCCAGAATATGGCTTTTGGGGTCCCTGTTAAATAGGTGTTGACTTCCTCCAAGGCTTACAGTGTGGGAGAAAAACTTTGGAAGAAATTTGGGTGGGTAGTAATTAGAACTGCCCATTCTCAGGCCCCTCTGTACTCCACTGCCTGATACCCCTGCTCTCAGCTTTCTCCTGTCTCCGGAGAGGACCATCTCCCTTCCACTGTCCACCAAAAGAGCATTTTCCATCCACAGTTTTGAATGAGAGGACACACTTCAAAATCTGTGGGAGGGGGCAGCAGGGGCCAGCTATGATTCTCAGCTGTCCAGTGAGGCCAGGAGAGAGACCAGGATTTACAAACGTCCCTACTCACCTCACTGGCTTTAGAAGCAATCTTCCAAGGAAAAGCAACCAAAGAGATGCCCAAGCATGGAGTGGATTGGTAGAAACAGAACACAGAGCTACATGGGCTACTTAGACCAAGACATCTGGTTTAGGAGGATAGGCAGGAGCCCCATGACCCTGAAGAGACCTGACTCCTGCGCCCTCTGCTTTGTAGCCTTGCGGGTGAGAGACCACTTGGCAGGTGAGATTCAAGGTTCTCGTCCTATACATCCCAAAGGAAAGCAAGAACCCCTGTTACAATTACTCTCAGAAATGTCTTGGGATGTAGACAAATGTCAGTGGAAGACCTAGGATTTTAGGTTTTGGGTAAGCCCGAATCTTTCTGGTTAAACAGCTCGTTGAAATTGGAGCTGGTTTCTAAGTGTGGTGAAAACAAAACAAAACATGGCTCCTTCTAGGTACTTCCCTAAGCTTCCTCTAGCTCCCACCAGCCTCTTGATCTGGAAATGCCCTACCTTTCCACACCCCTCCCCTACTTGATGACATCACCTTCTTTAAGCCCAAGTGAAAAATGTGATGGTGCCCTCTAGCAAGGGCACATTTGTCAGGCTATAGATCCTTGCTACTCAAAGTCTAGGCTTTGATCTAGTACACTTGGAAGTTTGTTAGAAATACAAAGTAATAGCTGGTCTCCCTCCACACCTACTGGATCAGAATCCCCAGGTGATCCAGTAGCCCCTTAGAGTTTGATGAGTTCTGATCCACAAGACAACCTAGGCCTGCCACAGTGGTCCACTTTATGCATTGAATGTAGCCTTGCGGCTTTGCCACTGCAACTGATTTTTTAAATGGATGTCTTTCTTTCTCTTTCTCTCTCCCTGCTCCTCCCAAACCTCTTCCCCTCTGTAAGTAATCTCCAGGGAAATAGGATTACCTTTCTCCCCCATCCTAGGCAGATTTATCTGTCCTTGAGTACACACCCACCATAGGAATGAAATTCCAGACTTTGAGGATGGCACCAGAAGATCTCAGAAATGACTACCTTCCAAATTAACAAGTGAATTACAACTCCAATAGAGGACATGTGGAATATAGCTTTTGAGTCACCTCTTTAAAGGCCCCTGTTCCTGCTGATGAGGAGAATCACAGCCTCTGGGACAGGAGTCCCTGTGTTTCTCCTTTGCTAACAAAGCAGTAAACCTTCATTTTCCTTTTTCTCAAAACTGTGTCCTCGTTATTGAATTGGCATCGGGGACAAGGACCAAGCTTTCAGCCACAGGCCCTCTTACTGACTGCCAAGGATTATCTTCCCAGCTAAGTTGACCCTATGTCTCAGCTTCTACTTCAATTTAGAAGCAAATTCTCTACTCTTGTATCTTCCTACCATCCAAAGTATTGACATGCCAAGTAGTGTACCTGAGACATGACTTCCTTCTCTTTATAAGGATGACAGGTTCCAGCTCTTTCCAAAGACAAAACCTCCTTAGGCATGGACTCCATTCCCTAGAGCCAGATCACAGCAAAGCATCTGCACCCTCACCACAGAGAACCAGGGCTCACTGGCCCCAGCACAACTGTCCTGTGGCCCACCCCCACCCTCCCAGCTCAGGGGACAACTGAGAACTTCAAAGCAGCCTTGAAGAGGTATTTTTTTTTTTTTTGAGAGAATTTTAATACTTATTTTTTTTAGTTTTTGGCGGACACAACATCTTTTGTTTGTATGTGGTGCTGAGGATCGAACCCGGGCCGCACGCATGCCAGGCGAGCGCGCTACCGCTTGAGCCACATCCCCAGCCCCCAGAGGTATTTTGTTTTTGTTTTTAAATATTTGTTTTAGCTGTAGTTGGACACAATATGTATTTTTATGTGGTGCTGTGGCTCAAACCCAGTGCCTAACGCATGCTAGGCAAGTGCTCTACAGCTGAGCCACAACCCTAGCCCCTGAAGAGGGTGGGGGGTTGGGACAAGATCAGCTGTTTGCAATGTGAGATTCCAGAAGTTCGAGTCCCTGGCTCTTCCTAGAGAACAAGAGGATGGAAACCTGTGTTCTGCAATTTCTGTGAACCACGAAAAAGGCTATGCAAGGCACTGCTAGAGAGTTCAGAAGAGGACCTCCAAGAGGATTGTGGGCCGCTGTGGCAGGGCTTTTATGTCTACTAGACCAGCCCCAGCCCTGGTCCCTCACACAATTGTTCATGGTCAAGGAGTGTAGCAGGGCTCCAGTCTCCCCCTTCCTTGGCCCTCAGATGCCCCCTTCACACTGCCTTAGCTGCTACTCCAAGCTGGAAGCAGCAGGAGGTGAGATAAGCCAGGAGCATGTCTGAAGGTTCCAGCGGCCAGGACAATGGGCAGTGGTTAGGCAGGAAATGAAGTCTCCCCTTCTTTCCAGTTAAGGAAATGGAGCACTAGCTCCCATGGGAGAAATCAAAGCAGTATTGTTTCAAAGAACAAAACAGTTCAGAAGAGAACAAAGTTTTTGGCATTGACTCCTCTCTGGAGAGGATACTATCATATACACCACCCCACTTGGATGAATGCAGCCTGTCTGGCGGGGATTAACGACCAATGTACATGTTCATTTATGAGAATTATGCTCAAGGGTAGGGATCTTTCAGTGTCTTTTAATACTCCATACCTTCACAACTGTCAAAATGAGAACAAAATCTGGCCAGCAATGAGAGCCGGTTTCTAAGCTGGGAAGCAGGAGAGTCTGCCAGTGCATTTGCTCAGACGCCATATCTGTGAAGGGCCCTTGGACTCATGCCACGTGGTTGCCATTGACATGATTTCCAATTTGCTGGAAGGGTAGAAGAGAAGGATGGAGCTACCAGAGACGGAAGAGCCTAGAATCTAGTCCCTTTCCACAACTTCCACTTTTAGATACAAAGTTAAATTTTAGGAACAAAATATAGACATTAGCGTCTATTTCTTGCCAGGTCTTATGGCTTGGCCATTGGAAAATTTATGAAAAAATGCATAAACCCTGTCCTTAGGTACACTGTGTGATGGGAATATATACACAGAACATTTTCTGGGGCCTGACATTGATCAAATTATATTGTTACATTGTTTGCATGTACGAATATGTAACAATAAATCCCTCCATTATGTACAACTATAATGTACCAATATAAAATGTGGGGCTGGGGCTGGGGCTCAGAGGGAAAGCTCTTGCCTGGC